GGCCGGAGCGCTCTTTCAGGAGACAGGAGGCTAAGTACTCTGCACACCACTTCGTTGTCTTTCAGCTGACGAGCCAGGATAAGACTCCCGCCGTGATCCAGAGGGCGATGCTGAAGCACAACCTGGACGCGGACCCGGCTGAGGAGTATGAGCTGGTGCAGGTCATCTCGGAGGACAAAGGTGGGTGCAACCTCCTTCTCCCGCCTCCTCATGCAGGTTGCCCCAGTTTTAGAAGAAAGAAAATGGGTACTGTGTCTTTAAAACATTGTATCAGCGGGGTTTTTAATTGTGCAAAGTGGAGTTGCGTAGGGAACCTTGCCATCACCTCTCTTGTAGAATTAAGTGTCTCAGGCTACCCACCCCCTCCCCAACCCTGTTATTTGCTGAGCATTCCTGCTACCCATTCTTTGTAAACTTCCCATCTTCTGTCAGGAGGTGGGGATAGTTGGGGGTTCTGTTGGGTCTTTGCAGATGGCCACCCATCTCCTTTACCCAATAATGTGTGTCTAAGTTGTATGTGAACCTGAAATGTAGCAGTTTCTGTAATCATTTATCATTGTTTCAGTTAATCATTTATGAGAAGCTTATAAGTTTGTCTTTCAGTTTACCTTTTTTTAAAAAAAGATTTTTTTTTTATTGATTTTTAGAGAGAGGGGGAGAGAGAGAAACATCGATGTGAGAGTGAAATATTGATCGGCTGCCTCCCGCACGCCCCTCACCAGGGATCAGGCCTATAACCAGGGCATGTAACCTGAACAGGAATTGAACTGGCAACCGTTCGGCGCATGGGACAACTCCCAGCTGAGCCATTATCTTTATTCATGTTTGACCTTCAAGTTGCAAAAGCTTCTAACACCCGCATTTAAGGGTCTTTCGCTCACATTTCTCGGAACAAAAAATTGGTGAACTATGACATACTTCAATATGCCTAGAACCCGTTATTTTAAAAAATTCCTTTTATGAAAACTCTGGGCAAACAGTCACCCTGAATGTGTCTGTCTGCTCATTTGAATTGGGGTTGTAAGTCCAGAGGAGCAGCAGATATGGCTGACAGACCCCACGCTGACCAGTGCAGGTGTCTTCGACCAGCCCCTGGAAGGCAAAGGAGAATTCTACAGGCCGGGGTGTGGGAAGGGAGCAGCTGGTCATACTCCATCTGACCAACCAGTCACCCGGGCTGTACCTTGGACCCAGAGGAGAATGGCCCAAGTTAGTAGTACCTATTCTTAGAGATGAAAGACTAAAGCTCATGGAAAGTTCTTTCTCAGCTACCTCTTAGAAATGTTCTCACTCATTCAGCTGTACGATACGGTTTAATGTACTTTCAGTTAAAATTCTAAGCCTCAACAGTGGTCTCTTGAGTTCTACCATGTTACCAACAGAACAGCACCAAGGTGAGGCCGGTGGGTCTGAAGACCCAGGAATCCCAGCGTGCAGGCTGGCCCAGCTTTGCTCACCGCTGCGCAGTCTTGGCCTGGCTGCTTGATCTCCTGAGGCCTTGGCCCTTGGGAATATGTGGGCAGGAGATTGGAAACACTTTAAGGGAGTTTTTCTTCACGAAACATTTGTGCAACATGCACCCGAGTCGCCTAGAACCTGATTGTGTCAGTCTTGCTGTAGAGTCTCCGTGTTTGAAGTTCACACAGGTTGACTTAGCCCAGACTCACAATCAGATGCCTCCCCGTCCGCTGCCACGAAGCTACACTTGCACAGTTTACCTTTTGTATTCCTGTTTGGTTTTCTTAGACACCCATTACTTCTGAGTGCTAAATAGTATATACCTTCTTTTAAAAAGAAAAAGCAATTAAAATAACTTTGCTGGATAATTTCATATCACACTTGGAATAATCCTTGTTCAGAAATTGCAGCTGTGTAGTTGGGAATCATTGAAATAGACAATAGCTTACATGTTACCAGATATACACTGTCCTATATGATGCTGTTTAATGTTAAAATGTAAGCTCTTGATGAAGCAGGACCTCACAAGGAATACAGTACTGGTTGGATTAGGGATTGCTTCAAAAAATGTTTTGATAGTCCAGCAAAAAAGAGTTCTGGAAAACACTGTAGAGTTTATACTTCCTCCCTCCCCGCTACCCCATGTCATTAGATCCTCTCAGTCTCAAGAAAAGCTGCATATTGAAGGAGGAAATAGACTACAGGAGGAGTGAGGCCTGGGTTCTGGTCCCAGTTCTCATGTTGACTGAGTTGTGATCTTGGGAATGTCGTTTAACTCCACCTGGGCTCTGTCTCCTGTAGAACCTTCCTCCAGTTAAAACATTCTGCACTTGAACATTTAGTTCATGCATTGAATTTCTAAGCCCCATTTGCACTTAGTTTTTTAAAATTGGGATTAAGAAGTTGTGAGAACCTCTTTTTTTTGTGGGGGAGGAGGTCATGGTCTGGTTCAATGCACATTCCCAGGCCTGAGGGCCACAGTCCCAGCCTGTTTCTGGGCAAACTCTGCCCCGGCCACTGTCGGTGCTGGGCTGACCTGCGCAAGCTGACCGCCTCTCTCGCTCCTCTGTTTTAGAGCTCGTGATCCCAGATTCGGCAAACGTCTTCTACGCCATGAACAGCCAAGTGAACTTTGACTTCATTTTACGCAAAAAGAACTCCACGGAAGACCCAGTGAAACTGCGGAGCCGGACGAGCGTGACCTTGCCCAGGACAGCTAAACGGGGCTGCTGGAGCAACAGACACAGCAAAATCACCCTCTGAAGGGAGGGACCACCGGCCCCTTGCTTGCCCACGGCAGAGAGGGGCTAAGGACAGGCCGTGGTGCGTGCAGCTACCATCCAGTGTTAGAGGATCATTGGTGAAGCCAGCAGCTATTTATTGAGTACCTGCGGTGTGATAGGCGCCGTGGGGAGATTGGAGATGAATCTGAAATGAAAAGGATGGACGATTCACTGATCCTCTTTGACCAATTTGAGACTGAAATGCAAAATTACCCACATTTATAAATACATATGACACATATTTGGTATGTATGTGTGTATGTGAGAATACATGAGGGACTTAGAGGATATTATGGACTGTGGAGAAACAAATTTGCACAATGGCCTGGGGAGTTGAGGTCACTTTTTACAGGGAAATAGAAGGAACTCAGAACCCGGTTTCCTACCTGCCAAGTAAGTGGATCCAGTCCCAGGAATGCAGAGTAGTCCTCGTGCCAGTATTCTGAGGAGCCCACACCATTTTACAGGGAGAGGAGGGCTTTCCCGATGAAGTGCCACCGGAAGAGAACAGCTGCAGAGGCTGCGGCGCCACAGGTTCCATGAGAGGCCTCTTGGGAAAGGGTTTGGATGAGCCCGTGGCTTCCCCCGCCGGCCTCTGCCTTCATCCCGTCTCCTCGGCCCCAGGGAGGCAGGGAGGCCCAACCGACCCACTAGTCCAGCGTCAAGACACTTCTGGAATCAATGTGAGCCTGTTTTGATGTCTGTTTCCCCTTAACTCGCACATCACAGTCATCACTGCACAAGTAGCCATGTTCTTTGGTAACTGGTGGGCCTTTTCCGATTGCCTTTTGCATGGAAAGCTCTGTGTCTGGAGCCTTTCGCATCTGGGTGGTGGCACCTCCACACTATGTGCAATTTGTTCCTCAGGTGTAGAACGTTCTACTGCGTTAGACTCTCATTTGATCATTTTGAGCCTGTGAAAGATTTCTAAGCAGCGACCGTGCCGTTAGCAGCCCCTGGGAAGGTGTTCCCTGCTGGCAGCTGTGTCCTGTTCTACGTTTAACTTGTAGCATTAAGTGCCTCCTCTTGGGGAGAGAAGTGGGCTGCATGTGTCACCTAAAGCATTTCTGAAGAGGTACATTCTTCCACATGGAATCAATGAGGTTTTTGTTTTTTGTTTTTTTAGGTCCCCACTCTTGCTATCAGCATTCCTG